AATATCAATGACAAAATGTGATTAACAATTGCAATTGCAATTATAATTAAATGAAATAAAATACTCCGTATTTAATAACATTACATGTGACATTGTTGAAAGGAGAAAATGTCATACGAATGTCACAAATACTAAACCAAAAATGACACATTTTCACAATTCAAAAATACAATGTCACATTGAAATAATTTCATAGTACAAAAAAAACAGACAAAGGTTGACACTAAAATATAGCAATGTCAAAATGTGATTAACAATAGAAAATATTAATAGCGCACATACTACGTATGCATGGGCATGCATACGTACGCATCACCTGGCCGCACGTCTCTCCCCTTCAGTTGGTCAATGATTATCCTTAGCATTTATATGTACAATATTATCCCATTATATTATGTATAGTCAGCCGCAAGACTCTCCAAGATACAACAACGTAGATACGTAGTATACTAACACACGAGTGTATCATTGTAAAGAGATAAACATTGTACAACTGTATATATATTGGAGCAATACAAAGCTAGCCGGGTACGGCGAATTATACATTCCATCTTGGTATCAGAAGCCATCTTCAACCTTTCCTCCCCTGTGTCACCATGGCTACGCCGACCAAAACACTGTTTCACCCGGCTCTCGCCATTACCTCAATCAAAAACCTCATTCCCCTCACCCTTAACACGGAGAAAGTCCAATATTCTTCGTGGGCTGAGCTGTTTAAAATCACAGCTCGTGCATATGATGTTCTTGACCACGTGTCTCCGGCGGGGACGTGCCCCACTGTGCCGCCCACATCGTCCATTCTCTCTGACGATGAACGCCAACGTCTTGCCAAAGAGAAAGCTCTCTGGATCCGCATCGATGCCGTTGTCCTACAATGGATCTAAGGCACCATATCTCACGACCTCTTGCTTGCCATTCTGGAACCAGACTCCACCGCTCGGGCTGCGTGGACCCGTCTTGAAGCCATATTCCATGACAACAAAAATTCTCGTGCAGTTCACTTGGAGGATCTTTTTTCTAATACGCGCCTGGGGAATTACCCCTCCATCTCCGCCTATTGCCAGGCGCTTCGCACGCTCTCCACCCAGCTGGCCAATGTTGACGCTGCCGTCGACGAACGACGTTTGGTCCTCCGTGTGGTTAATGGTCTGACCACACCCTATGCCACTGTCGCGTCGTTCATTCAACAACTTGACCCCCTGCCCACGTTTGAACGCGCTCGGTCAATGTTAATACTAGAAGAAACCCGCCAGGCTCATCAACTCGAGGCCTCCTCATCATCATCTGCTTCCGCACTCATCACCACAACTCCCCCCCGAACTGACTCAGCTTCTTCCTCTTCAGGACAACGTGGACGTGGTGGGCGCTCTGGTTCAACTCGCGGCAAGGGCCGCGATAGACACTTCGGCACACGACAACAGGACACTCCAGTTTGGCCCCCAGCTCCACCGCCTTGGTCTTTTCCTCCATGGGCCGCTTGGATGCAGTCCCAATGGGCTCCTCCTCCATGCCCATATCCTACGGTTGCTACTACCCCAAGCCCATCCCGGCCTGCCTCTGCCGGGATCCTAGGCCCTCGTCCCCAAGCCTTCACTGTTGGTTACCATGCTCCACCAGCCCCATCCTACGTTCCTACGGATATTACAGCAGCCATGCACACCATGACTCTCAACCCTCCGGATGATAGTTGGTATATGGATACCGGGGCCACCTCTCATATGACCTCGGATAAAGGTACTCTCTCGTCTTTTATTAATACGGGTACTAAAGGATCTATTATAGTCGGTAACGGTTCCACCATTCCCATTTCGGGTCATGGACACTCTGTTTTGCCTACCCCCTACTCCCCTCTTAAACTTCGTAATGTCTTATACACCCCACATATTGTCAAAAATTTAATTTTTGTACACCAATTCACTATTGACAATCATGTGTCCATAGAATTTGACCCTCTTGGTTTTTCTGTGAAGGATCTTCGTACGAGAATTCCCATTCTGAGGTGTAATAGTCAAGGCCTTTTGTATCCGGTGTGTGCTCTCCGTGCCTCGCGGCTCCCATCTAGTTTCGCTGGCATCTCCTCCACCATTTGGCATAACCGTCTCGGTCATCCCGGCCTTCCTGTTTTTCGTCATCTTAGTACAAATAAACTTATTGATTGTAATAAGTCCTATAATGTTGTTTGTCAATCTTGTCAAATGGGCAAACATAATAAATTACCCTTTCCCCCTTCTTTGTCTTGTACTCATGCTCCATTTGATCTTATACACACTGATCTGTGGACTTCTCCTGTTTTAAGTTCCACCGGTCACCGTTACTACATTTTATTTCTAGATGACTTTACCAATTTTCTGTGGATTTATCCTTTACATTGCAAATCCGATGCCTTCTCTAAATTTGTACATTTTTTTAAATTTGTACACAATCAATTCGGAAAAACAATTAAAACCCTACAATGTGACAATGGTCGTGAATATAACAACTTATTATTTCACAATTTTTGTTCCACACATGAGATGTCCTTCCGATTTTCTTGCCCCTATACTTCCCCACAAAACGGCAAAGCGGAACATAAAATTCATTCCATTAATAATATTTCCCGAACGTTATTAATTCACGCCTTTATACCACCCACTTACTGGCCTCACGTCGTGTTAATGGCCACATATCTCCATAATATTCTTCCCTCCAAACCTTTGTCATATATCTCCCCTGCCCTCGTGCTATATCATAAACAACCTACATATTCTCACTTACGAATATTCGGTTGCTTGTGTTACCCCCATCTTCCCACTCCTCATAAACTAGCCGCTCGAACCACACCTAGTGTTTTTCTCGGTTTTCTATCTCAACACAAAGGATACAAATGTCTTGACATCTTCACAAATCGGATAATCATCTCCCGTCATGTAACGTTTGATGAATCCACCTTTCCATTCCAAACTCCAGCTCATAATACGCCCCAACCTTCATACGACTTTCTTCGTGATGACCAACCCTCTCCATACCTATTGTCCCGAATTTTCCCCACCACACCAAATCTTCCCCCTCCCACGTTACATACTGAGTCATCTACCACACCACCACAACCTTCCACGTCTCAAACTCCCACTCCACCTCAAATGCCAACAAGCACCCACCCAATGATCGCCCGCAGCAAAGCTGGGGTGTTTCGGCCAAACCCCATCTATAACCTCAACAACATACACAACCCCTCCATCATATCCTCTCCACTCCCCAAATCTCATGTCCAGGCCCTCAAAGATCCCAAGTGGTCGTCAGCTATGAATAGTGAATTTACCGCCCTTATTAAAAATAAGACGTGGGAGTTGGCTTTTTAAACATAAATACAGATCGGATGGGAGCCTCGAACGTCATAAAGCTCGCCTAGTGGTTAATGGCAAGTCTCAACGACCCGGCATTGATTGTGATGAAACATTCAGCCCGTTTGTCAAACCCGCCACAATCCGCACGGTTCTTAGCATTGCCTTATCTAAGTCTTGGCCTCTCCATCAACTTGACGTCAACAACGCCTTTCTTCATGGTTTCTTGGACGAAACAGTCTACATGCATCAATCTCCCGGCTTTGGAGATGTCACCCGCCCCAACCATTTGTTAAAAAATCCCTCTACGGCTTAAAACAAGCTCCCCGTGCATGGTAGCACCGGTTCGCTTCTCACGTTGCTAAAATGGGTTTCCAACACAGTAAAGTAGATCACTCTCTTTTCATCTACCACGCTGCCGGTGCCACTGCCTACCTCCTCTTATACGTAGACGACATCGTCATTACAGCATCTTCTACTGCCCTTCTCCACGATATCATCTCCAAACTCGCTGCAGAATTTTCCATCAAGGACCTGGGTCCTTTGTCCTACTTCCTTGGCATTTCCGTATCTGAATCTCCTGGCAGCATCTTTTTGTCCCAAGCCAAGTATGCTGGGGAAATCCTCCAACGAGCTGGCATGCACTCCTGTAATCCCTCCAACACTCCTGTTGACACCAAAGCCAAGCTCAGCGCGGATGTTGGTCCTTCTGTGCCCGATCCTACTTTATACCGCAGCCTTGCTGGAGCCTTACAATATCTCACATTCACACTACAAAAAAACACGTCGTTTGTCACGGATTTTGTCACGGACGGTAGTTCAAAAAATTCGTGACAAATGATTTTTTGTCACGGATTTGTCACGGAAAAAATCCGTGACACCAGGGGTGTGATAACGTTTTTGTCACGGAAATTAATCCGTGAGACTGTTTGTCACGGATTTGTCACGGCCACCGTCCGTGAATAATTTTTTTTATTTTTCAAAATAAAATAATTATTTGTCACGGAAATTTCCGTGACAAATTTAAAAAAAGATTTTTCGAAATAGAGTGGGCGGGTATTTGAAACGATCCGGAAAATTCAAATTTTAAATTTTGTCACGGAAATATCCGTGACAAAACATTTTGAAAAAAATTTGAAAATTTTAAAATAGAGTGGGCGGGTGCTTTAAAATTTTCAAAAAAAATTCAAAATTTTAAATTTGTCACGGATCCCATCCTTGACAAAACATTTTTTTTAAAAAAAAATACGTTATTTTCAGCGTTTTATGTATTTAGAATAAAATGAATTTATATTTTGTCACGGAACAGTCCGTGACAAAAGTTTAAATTTTAAAAAAAAAAAATTAAAAATTCAGCGCATTAATTTTTTGAATGTTTATTTCAAAAGTTTATTTAATAAATAATAACCATTAAAATTTAGGTGCTTTTTCAAAAATTTAAACTTAATAAGCATTGTTTTTAATAAATAGTTAAATAATAATCTTAATAAATAATTGTTTATGATAAATAATTAAACAATCATCATTAATCACCATTAAACATTAGGTATCATAATAAATAATAATCTAATCAAACCATCATTATAAAACACAAATAATTAATATTCATACATTAACACATCAAAATTTAAAAATCCTTAAAATGTTAATAAACTAATTATTACAAACCATCAATGGTCATCATAATCAGCATCAGCATCATCAGGTTCGTCACGATGATCGGGTTGCCTTCCGTGGCCACGGCTGCCACCACGATGGCTGCCTCGACTGCCACTGCGGCTGTCAGCACGGCTGCTGCCACGGTAAGCTTGAGCTCCGGGAGTCGGGATATCGTCATAATATCCATACGGAAAGTTGTTGGAGATATGGCTATAATCAGCAAAACCCCTACTGCCCATACTGCCCATATTGCCCGCGAAGGGAACTTGTGGGGTCATCTCGGGGTGCTGTATGTGCATGGATGGACGGTAGGTGGCGTTGAAAATACGCATTTGGCGTTCCATCTCTTCCAACTATTCTCTTGTTCTTCTTTGCTCTTCATCACGTATCCGAGCTTCTTCATCCCGCCTTCGAGCCTCGGCTTCACGTTCCTCCAATAGTTTCTCGAGGCGGGTAACCCGATCATCATATGCCGAATGAGAAGATGAGCTAGCTCCTTTGGCCTTCTCTAGGATCCGTACGCCTTCAGAACCCATAAGCGGCACCCGGCCCTTGTAAACTCTGATTGCCGCCAAGATGGCCTCATATTCTTGATTTTCATCAAATTCGTCATCAGAATCAGTCAGCTCATCAACTCTCTTCCCCCGCTCTTCCTCATATTTTTTCTACAAGTTCAAAAATTTATTATATACGAGATCAAAAAAAATCGAAATTTATTGAATTATGTTTCATTATTTACTTCAATTTCAGAAAGGCGGGGAGGCGGTATGGCACCCTTCTTCGTCCAGCAATGTGCCATGAGTTTCAATGGCGTGACCCGTTTTTTCACGGGTCCAGATCCTTCCTACACGGATTTCAAAGTTAATAAAAAAATATATACATAAAGGTATGGAATGGAAATAATTTTAACTAATTAGAGTTTACCAAATCTTTTTTATGTTGAATTTGGGGTTTGCGGCCCCCGTGCCATTGAACTTCCTTGGCTTTCTCGGAGTTCCGGTTTGCCTTGGCCGTTTCGCTTCTCAGCAAAAATGAGGCATCCGTAGCCCAGTGACGGCAAAGCATATCCCACACATCATCGCCAAGGAATTTTGGCTTTTTACCCGTAGACCGGGCGGTCCTAAAAGTGGGTCTCAACCACCCAGAAATCCTAGAATTGTATTCTTTGAGAATAGCTTGGTCTAGGGCAAAATGCCAACGATGGGAAGCCTTCATGAAAAACATTGATATATCATCATTTCTTAAATTTAAGTTATTAAAATGTAACAAAACAAATTATTTTTACCTTGAACAACCGCCACCATAGTTCACGAGTGGCCGCCGGAACCTCACCATAAGTCGACCACGGCCCGGTGAAATGACCACAAACAATAGACTTGATTCTATTCAAGACCTTGGAATCGCTTCAAAAAATTGATAATTGATAAAAACAATTGTATTAATTCTTAGATGTAGAGATTATACTATTTTATATTAGAGAGTGTTAGTTTTTTAATACCTATGGATTGATTGAGGTGTCACCTCAAGCGAACCGGGATTGTGGCGCTCTTCTTGAGTGGGGCGGCATATATTGCACGAGATGAAGGAGGTGCATGAGATGATGCCCCCTCCCCATGCACGCTTATATGAGCGTCTGATTGTTCGGAGGGAGGAGTTTGGACATGTCCGTCAAGGAAGCTTATGGTCACGCGGTAACATTCCTCCAAATGACTGCAATAACCTAGACATGCAAGATTCAGGAAGACTGTATTCAGATTTAATGTTCATCAACTCTGTAACGGCGGATAGCTGAGAGTATCCCTCACAATCAGCATACAGAGGCTGATCGGCAGCTTTTAAAACATCTTGAAATCTTTCAGCTATGTCTTCAATATGAGGAACATGAGAATTCGGATACTCATCCGCATCAGGCTGATAAAAGGTCGGATCTTCATCTGCATCGGGTTGATACGAGGTCGAAGCTTCGGGAAGATCGTTAAATGGCTGTGGTGGGTTAAACTGAATCGTTGAAGCACCGTATACATCATATGCCATTCTTTGATCCCACGTCATTTGATCATAGTCTCCCCATCCACTCATCTCGGTAGGGACGTTACGAGATGAACCTACTGTTTGTGGTAAAAGTGATGGATCGAAAGGTTCGCCATGAGAAGTCCAATTATAATAATTGGCAACGAAACTTTTTTCGTACAAATCCCACACAACTTGGTCGACATCTTTAAATTGAAGATTTTTACACTTTGTACATGGACATCTGATTTTATCGCCATCCATATAATTCTTCTGTTCTTGTGCAAATTTAATAAAATCTTCAACACCATTAAAAAAATCATTGTGTATTCCATAGTTATCGCGATGTTTTTGGTACATCCAACTTCTGTTTTGTCTATACATTATGCCTGTATATATATTATAATCAAAATAATATATAAGTACATTAATATTATTAATTAACTAAAAGCAGTACATTATTTGTGGCATTAATAATTTGAATTAACCAACTTTTCAATCATGTAGAAACGCCCACTAAAATATTATTTAGAAACATTAAGCTGGCCGGAATTAATAATTTACTAATATTTAACTAATAGTAATATGTTAATGGCATTAATCGTTTTAATTATTAACTAATAAAGTTTGAATCCTAACTGAAATCACTACAAATCCTAAATTATGCATTAACAATAATTAACTAATAAACAAATTAAACCTAATCATCATCATTGATCAATTAATTAACTAATATTTAAATCTAACTAATATTATCAACTCAAATTCTAAACCCATTTCCTCAATGTTTTAACTTAATTAATTAGTTAATTAATTTACATTTAACTAATCATTTCATCATTTTCATTTACCCCAGTGCCGCAAAGGCTCCCACCTACGGTGGGGTAAGGGGGGGTCGGATGTACGCAATCTTACCCCTGTACTAAAGCACAGAGAGACTGTTTCCGGATGACCCATAGTGAAAATCGCGTCCAAAATTGCATGGATTGACTGCTGCTCCATAACCAAGAAGCGCAGACAGTTTAGTGAGCCATTTTGCTTTATTCCATCATAATCTCAAGCCAAAAAATGAATCTTTGGCTCCATTGCAAATGATGGAAATACATTTAACTAATATTATTGTTAAATATTATCTCATTAATAATTCACAATAATAATTCACAATAATAATTCACACTAATTAAACTAAATAAAAATAAAGTTTCAATCCTAGCTATATATATTATGCATCCCATTAACAATAATTAACTAATTTAACTTATTAATTAGTTAATTTCCATTTAACTAATATTGTTAAATATCATTAATTCACAATAATATATAATTCACGCTTAACTAATAAAGTTTGAATCCTAACTTAAATCACTACAAATCCTAAATTATGCATTAACAATAATTAACTAATTAATAAACAAATTAAACCTAATCATCATCATTGATCAATTAACTAATATTTAAATCTAACTAATATTATCAACTCATCAAATTCTAAACCCATTTCCTCAATGTTTTAACTTAATTAATTAGTTAATTAATTTACATTTAACTAATATTATTGTTAAATATTATCTCATTAATAATTCACAATAATAATTCACACTAAACTAAATAATAATAAAGTTTCAATCCTAGCTAGCTATATTATGCATCCCATTAACAATAATTGCTAATAAATAATAATTGGTGATAATTAATAACCTAATAATTAAGCTAGCTAACTAATTAATTAAATCACTACAAGTCACTAATTAATTAATCTATAATAAGCTAGCTAATACTTAAATCATCACTACACATCCTAAATTATTATGCATTAATAATAACAATAATTTAAGTAATTAATATTTATATTTAAATTTAACTAATTAAATTACGTTAATAGTTTAATAATATATTGTTAATAATATGAAAATTAACATGACCTCACTAAATTACGTTAATAGTTTAAATAAATGAACAACTAACCTCACTAATTAATTATTAAGCTAATTAAATTAATTATTATTATATAAAGAAAAAAGAATTAATTCTAACCTCACTAATAATAATTAATTATTAAGCTAATAATTAATTTATTACACAATTAAAAGAAATTAGTTAAAATGACATACCTTATCTGCATAAACTCGGAAAATGATGAACTGACGGATTACATCATTCAATCTTTAAACCGATACTACATCACTCGAATCTACGAATTTTTGAACTGATAATTGTTGTTCTTGCAATTGTAATGGACGATGGGGTTGGGTTATATAAAAAAGTTTGTCACGGATTTGCAATTGGATGGATCCGTGACAAAGTTTTTTTGAAATTTATCACGGATTTGTCACAGAACGGTCCGTGACAAATGCCCGGAAGCAAAAAAAGTATTCACCGGAGTAAAAAACCGGTCGCCGGAGTAAATTTGTCACGGACCAAATCCGTGACAATATTTTGTCACGGATTTTGTTACGGATAAATCCGTGACAAATCATTTTCGTGACAAATCCCAATATTCCGTGACAAAGTCCGTGACAACTTTGTCACGGCCGGAATCCGTGACAAAAATCCGTGACAAAAGGCGTGTTTTTTTGTAGTGTCACTAGGCCGGATCTCTCTTATGCGGTTCAACAAGTATGCTTGTACATGCATGACCCTCGAGTGCCTCACCTTGATGCTCTTAAGCGCATCCTCCCTTATGTTAAAGGCACACAGCATCACGGCCTTCACCTCCACTCCTTTACCACCACTCAACTGCTCGCGTACACAGATGCCGATTGGGGCGGCTGCCCCGAAACCCAGCGATCCACATCCGGGTATTGCATTTTTTGGGAGACAATCTTATCTCCTGGTCATCCAAACGCCAAGCTATCATTTCCCGTTCTAGTGCCGAAGCTGAGTATCGTGGCGTCGCAAATGCGGTCACCGAAACATGTTGGCTCCGTAATCTTCTACTCGAGCTTCGTCACCCTCTATCTCATGCATCTCTGATTTATTGTGATAATGTTAGTGCTATCTACATGTCACATAACCCGGTCCAACATCAAAGAACCAAGCACATCGAAATGGATATTCATTTCGTCCGAGAACGAGTCTCACTTGGTCATGTTCGTGTTCTCCACTTGCCTTCCCGGTTCCAATATGCTGACATCTTTACGAAGGGACTTCCCCGAATTTTATTTGATGATTTCCGCTCCAGTTTGAACGTAAGTTTACCCCCGATCAAACTGTGGGGGCGTAATAGCGCACATACTACGTATGCATGGGCATGCATACGTACGCATCACCTGGCCGCACGTCTCTCCCCTTCAGTTGGCCAATGATTATCCTTAGCATTTATATGTACAATATTATCCCATTATATTATGTATAGTCAGCCGCAAGACTCTCCAAGATACAACAACGTAGATACGTAGTATACTAACACACAAGTGTATCATTGTAAAGAGATAAACATTGTACAACTGTGTGTGTGTGTATATATATATATATAAGAGATCAAATACAAACCATGCTTAAAATACTAACCTACAAACTCAATAATATGCATCACTTTGAACTTCAATATGCAGTAAAAATAATGTAAAAATGCAGAGGTGAGATCACATACAAACTAGTCCGGCCTCCCATTCAAATCATCTTTACGTTATTTGTATTGCACATTGAAGTTCAAAATGTTTCATATTATTCAAGCCATAAAATAGCAGTTTCATATTTCCATTATTTGTATTGCATATTGAAATTCAAAGAGTGCATCTTTACATTATTTGTACTGCATATTGAAATTCAAAGTGTTGCATATTATTGAGTTTGTAGGTTAGTAAGTTAAGCATGGTTTGTATGTGATCTCACCCCTATATATATATATATATATATATATATATATATATATATATATATATATATATATATATATATATATATATATATATATATATATATATATATATATATATATATATATATATAGAATAAGGATCAAATGAGAAGACATCTTAACGTGAGAAGTGAGAAGCGTCACATTTGGCTCTTTTTGATGCACTTTTGCGCTAATCTAATGCACTTTTTCGATCACAGAAAAGTTCTGATTAATTAAAAAAGTGATGCAAGACGCGGTGACATTTCCGTAATTAATCAGAACTTTTCTGCTATCGCAAAAAGTGCATCAAAAAGAGGCAAATGTGAAGCTTCTCACTTCTCACGTTAAGATGTCTTCTTATTAGAACACAACCCTATATATATATATATATATATATATATATATATATATATATATATATATATATATATATATATATATATATATATATATATATATATATATATATATATATATATATATATATATATATATATATATATATATATTGGAGCAATAAAAAGCTAGCCGGGTACGGCGAATTATACATTCCATCTAATATAATAATAACAAAAGCAACTATTCAATAATAATACATGTGACGTTGTTGAAAGAAGGACAAAATGTCATACAAATGTCACAAATACTAAATCAAACAATGACACATTTTCACAATTCAAACAAGCAATGTCACGGTGAAATAATTTCAGAGTAAAAAGTTGAAAATTGTGACAAATTTTCACACTAACAATAGCAATGTCAAAAGTAATTGCTACTCCAAGCCATTACTTTTACCTTTGCCAATTAGGGGTGGACCGGGCCCGGGCTGGGCTCCGGACTCCAGGCCGGGAGTTTGGCGGTACTGGGATATTGGGTTGCAGGCTTGGTACTCGCCCGAGTTTCTACCGTGCCCAGGTCTGGCCGGGCAAATTTTTTCTTTTTTTTTAATTACAAAAATGGCTTTTCGAATTTATTCCTACCCCCCACCCCACCCCACCCCACCCCCCAAATCACCTAGCCCCACCCGCCTAGTACTCTATTAATTGTGAAAAATAAAAAAAGGGCCCGGACCGATCCCGGACTGGCTGGGCCGGTCACCTATTTTCTAGACCCATAGCCCGCCCTCCCCTATACCCGGTTCAGGCCCCAGTCCCGATCCCGGTACATCTCGATCAGGCCGGGTCGGGCCTAAAGTGTGGCGGGACCGGGCTCAGGTCGGGCCGACCCATCCCGGTCCATCTCTATTTGTCATTACTCATACACTCTTCAACAAATTTATCATTTCCGATTGTCTCATTATATTTTCACAACTTATGGTTAGTAGAATAAGTTTCTTGAATAAAATATGCACTACAAAGAATGGAAAGAAAATAAGAGTTCAAAGCCGAATTTAGGAAAAATTGTCAAATGAACCCTAGTACTATGTAAAAAAAAGTCAATTAGACTATCTTACTTTGAAAACACTTAATTAAACCCTTCAACTTTTAAAAAATGTTCAATTTAGCTATTTTGTAGGTAATCAACAAGTTTCCCATGAATTGCACACGTGGCGTCTACGTGGCATATTTAGCCTTTTCTTTTATTTTCTTTTTCTTTCCCGTTCACTTTCTTCCTCGCTGATCTGGTCACTCTGATCTGTTGGGTTTCTTCCTAGCCGGCAGCTTTCTAATCATTTCTTTCTCGACCAGCTTCTTACCAATTCATTCAGAGCTATGTTGTGTCAATAACTTAAAATCCAGGGATCTGTCCAATAACATGTTATCTTCTGAAATGCCATCCACATTTGCAGAGCATAAGAATCTCACACTTATGCACCTTTTTCAGAATAAACTTCACGCCGAAGTTCACGGGTCAATACCAGACTCTCCATTGGTGATTTGCCGCAATCGAGGTTCTTCAACTATGGGAAAACAATTTCAATCCAAGCATTCCACAAGAATTGGGTAAAATTGGTAAAGTTCAGATGTTTGACCTCAGTTCCAACAAATTGACTGAGGTTTGCCCCCAAAATTTTGTACTAAGAAAAGCTACAGACCTTGACTAATCTTGTAAACTTCATGTTTCGTGACTTCGTCCCATTCCGGAATCTATCAACCAGCATCACATTCACTCGCATGCTCTTAATTCAGCCCTTCTTCGCCAGAGAGGAGCATAGGAGTTGGAGCTGCGATTAAGACAAGGCATGCTGGTGGCTCTGGAAATCGTGGAGAAGGTTCTTTCGAGAGGAAGCAAGCAAAGAGCACGAGGCGGTGCCACCTCAAGTAAGGCAGAACCCAATGAAGAACGAGGATGTTTTGGACTTTGGATTTGTCCGGTTATATTAGAAAGGGAACGGGGAGAGAGGAAGACAGAAAGAGAAACAAAAAGAAAAAAAACAAAAAAGAGGAAAAGAAAAAAGGTAAAGAAAAAGAAAAACAAAGACATTGCCACAATGCCACATGGACCGGGCTGCCACACATGCAGTTAACCGGGAAACCTGTTGGTAACCTGCTAATTCACTTAATTAAGCGTTTTTTAAGAGTTCAAGGGTTTAATTGGGTGTTTTTAAAGTACAAAGATCTAATTGATTTTTTGAAGTAGTACGAGAACCTATTTGACAGTTTTCCCTAGAATTTATATAAGCACACGCCATCTATATAAGCACAAACCATTTGCGCAATGTATTTGACTTTTTAAATTGCTGTTCTTGATCGAATTATTCTAATCACCTAAGGCAAAGTTACCACTTCATTTTGTTCCGTTTACGGTTTACCATATATACCACTTCATTAGTTACCAACAAGTATGTAATGTTTGTCATTTCCTCATCTTGAATAGAATCACTTAATGTTTGTCATCGACTCCCACCTCACAACTCACAAGTTGTTATGCTTTCTTTTTCACGCTAAGGGATATAGAAATAAAGCCTCAAGGGTTGAAAAATATGATTTTATGGATCTATGAGTACGAAGGATAATACATTATGACTGCATAAATCAGCATCTCTGTTAATGTGATGTTTTCTTTTGCTGAAATTTAAGTGTTTTAAAGATTTCATCACACTAATGGTTTTAGCGGTCAACACACTTGTTTTCTCACATATATAGCTTAGCAAGTTGAAACCCTCATTTTTACATTTCCTTCTTCCATTGAATAAATATAGTTGGTTACAATTAATATAAGATTTCTAGGTTGATAGTAAGGTGTAAATAGTCAAGAACAGTAGAGCACACTGTCAAATTAGTTGTAAAGCTCAAACTTGATTTAAAATTGAACAATAAAACCCCGATTGGGTAAGCACTATAATTACAACTTGGAGGGAGACGAGCATACTCAAAGAAAGTGAAGTATATTCTCTTCGGCAGTCACCTAAAATAGAGACATGTCAGGGGGAGGCCCATAGACACTCTTCCAAGAAAACGGGACGATCCATTTGCTGACCTCATTGCCTTCATTCAATTAAACAAACAGCCAAAACAATGCTCGTTAGCATAGCTCCCTGTGAAGATGTTATTGAATATGGCCACAGAAAATGTTCTACAGAAAGAAAATGGGGAGAAAAGTATAGGATAATTTAGAAGAAAATTTGTTGAGAAAAAAGAAAACATTGGTTCAAACGTTAAAAATCTAGGTTTAATGTGTTTCAAATTTATTTATTTTCATTATATAAATACTAATAAATCTAAACAGATGTAAAAAAAAAAGGAAAAAGGGCAAATAAGCCCTCGAACTAACCGAAAAAGGGCAAATCACCCCTTTTATAGGAGGCTTTGTCCGGCCGATGTCATTTAAGGTGGTTCCCGGTGAAATTTTTTGATGAACTTTTTTGAGCATCTTCTTCTTTAAGTCTAGTTTACTCATACCAAATTTCAACTAAAACTTCAAATAAATGTTTGAAGGTAGCTGCGCAGTTAAACAGCGCAGTATATTTCAGAAAATCATTTGACTGCCTTTCCGGTTGAATTTTTACCTGAAATTTGGTATGAGTAAACTAGACTTAATGAAGAAGATGCTCAAAAAAATTCATCAAAAATTTCCACATGCAACCGCCCCAAATGGCCACAGCCAGACAAAGTCTCCTACAAAAGGGGTGATTTGCACTTTTTCGGTTACTTCGAGGGCTTATTTGCACCTTCATCAAATCATATTTCACTTTAATTTTAATTTTTTGAATGAAATCCAGACAAAAGAAAATAACCTTTGTGCGTATTTTCATTCAATTCCTAGCATTGTTTAATTCCAAATGACCTTTAACTCCTTTAAGAATTCGTTTAATGGAAAGTTTTTTACACTAGTTACAAAACTTCCCTTCATTAATCTTAGTATCATTAAGTAATTTGGATACTAAATGAAAGTGAGCTCCTAGCATAGGAAATTGTGATGCTTTAATAATAATTAATAGAAAATTGTAGAAGTAGATGGATCATCAGAGGCGAAAAAGAAAAAACCATCCAAAACATTCTTGGATTTGTAAAATGACACTTCATATGAACCAAAAAAGGTCCTCTAAAGAGACAATTACAATGATCCCGACGGACTGGTTAGTTAATTAATACATGCTCCCTACATTCACACCATGTTTGACTTCATACGGAGTTTACATTTGAATTCAATGAGAAGAATCACAAGATTATGTCAGGACAGACCAAAAAGGAAAGCAAGAAGCATAGTTGTCATGGCGCATGGCGATCGCTATGGCTTAAAGGCATTTTTTATGGCACATATGGCGCTATGGGCTAGCGGCGGATCCAAAATGGGGCAAATGGGGGCCGCCGCCCATCCAAAAAAACTAGGTATATTTACCATGAAATTTTTAATACATATGTATTTGTATGTATATTTTTATACTGCCGCCCCTCCTACGGGAAATCCTGCATCCGCCGCTGGCTATGGCGATGACCACTTTTTCATGGCAATGGCGCATATGGCGCGCGCCATATCTTGCCATTGACTACTATGGCAAGAAGATTAAAATGGGTGAAGGTATTATATGCTAGAGAATCATTACATTGTTTCTTAATCATTTACACAGGAAAACTAACATGAAAGTGGATGGATTGCATATTTGCATATACATCCATAAAAAAGTTGTTAATAGATTGGACCGCTGTTATTAAATGTATCATAGATGGATAGGGTTTCTTAAATGACTTCTTACAGAATCAAGTGTGCAATGCAAAGAAGGAAAAAATGACACAGATGACAAAACTATGGTACAGAGTAGAACTTGTCCTAGTGTAGACATGGGGGGTAAAAATGTAAATGTAAAAAACTTGCCTTGGAAACTTTTAGCCGGGAGCCTGAGAATTTGAGACGCTGCTTCAGCCAAATGAAAAGCTTCAGGTATGTTATCTCCCTCTGAGCAATAACAGAAGAGGCAGGTAACCTTCATACCTTTGACCTAGTCCAAGAAACCAGCAATCGTACATGTGAAATTCAGTCCGACAAGAAGGATGCGAAGTAACAAAACAAGTTAACCCATAGAGATGAACCAGCCATAAACATCTTTAAACTAGGAGCAAGAAACAATTAGGTACCAAAAAAGAAAAGATATCATTTCATTTTTAAAGAGCCTCTAGGTTATGGTCTGTTTCGATATTAAAAACCAATACAAAAAAACAGTAACTTTCAGCAAATTTGGACTGAAACATTGAATACACACATTGCTACTAAATTATAAAAATCGGATGGCACAATAAGAAAGACAATTGAAAAAGAATTAACCTTAAAACAAGAGAAAAGTGCGGCAAAGGGTAAGCTTGCAATGTAATCTTCATCTCCAATCTCTTCATAAGGCAACTCTTTTTCCTCCAGGTCACTAGTTTCTATCAAATTGCTTAGGTACTTCCACATCCTCTGAGACGGATTATATTCTTTCAGCCTCTTGAATCCAAGTCTTTCACATTCATCGTCCTTTCCATCTATGCTGGAACCAGATAGATAATATGTCTGCAAACCACTGAATACTAGAAATTGTTGGTAACTCAGTGATTTTCATATACTCCAACTCAAACTTGTCCATGAAATCCAAGAACTGGGAAATAAGAAAGGGAAAATTTTCTAGATATGACTAAAAGATAAACAACTTCTCAAAATATGACTAGAAATCTCCTGTATGTTTAATATGACTAATTTGTAGGTAAAAGACATACGGTGCCATAATACATTAGGAGTAAATATCATTAATACCCTTAGGAGTTAGTTTTGTAAAAAATTCTTCCTGCATTTTACTTCTTCAAATAAGGAATCATGCATTTTTTTGGGGTGGAGTCATCCATAGGGATCATACATTATTTCATCCGACTGAATTATAATATTAACTATTCCGTCCATGCACTATTTTCGCTAGCATTAAAATCTATTTGAACTAAATATACCACAACGAAGGGCAGTAATTGCACATGCATGTATTGTGTATATTGAGCGGTAAAGAGTAATTGGCTCTGGTGCAATATAGAAGGGCAATAAAATACATAGACGAGTATTCATATAATTATGAGCAATAATATATATATAATACAGATAGTAAGTAATTTTTAGGAGTATAGACAATAATTTTACAAGCAGTGAAAGTATATCTATGGTGCAATATGGAGGGGCAGTAAAATACATAGACCGGTGATGGAGTATATGGGTCTGAGCCCCAGGACCCACATACTCGCAAGAACAGAAAGCACAAGACAACAGAGTGGCGCCCTCGTCGGCCAAGACGCCCCCGTCGGCCGAAAAGGGGCCAACCCAGATTACGGTCCTGAGCCCAAGGAACTCGGGTGCCCTCGTCGGCCGTGCCCTCGTCGGCCACGCCCTCGTCGGCCACGCCCTCGTCGGCCACGAAGACCTCCCAGAATCGGATTCTATACTTACTCATTTGTACAGCCCATTAGAGGCTTTGTATTCGGCCCAGTAGCGGTCCAGTTTTAAATGGGCCTCCCAAGCCCAAGGCTTGGGAGCCCAACCCTAATTTTCTCTATAAATACTCCCCTTGGGAGTAGTTATAGGGGTTACGAAATCATTCTATTGAAGCATATTATTGCACTTCTCTCTCTAGCTCTCACCTCTCTCTAGATATACTCTATCAACCGGTTTTCATATAATTATGAGCAATATATATACTCCATATAATATAGGCAGTAAGTAATTATATTTTAGGAGTATAGACAGTAATAATGAACGAGCAGTGAAAGTATATTTACGGTGCAATATAGAGGGACAGTAAAATACATAGACATATGTTCATATAATTACAAGCAATATATATATAATATAGGGGCTGTTTACTTGGGACTTAATGGACTTAATGACTTAACCATTAATTCATTAAGTCGTGTTTACTTGGAACTTAATAAAATAAATGACTTATTCGCTCAGACAAAGAGGTGACTTATTTGTTCAGCTGAAAAAGTACATTGCTCTAGCTTCAGACACGGGAACGTGCCCGTTTCCCTCTTTTAACCCTAGGCGATAATTTCTTTTATCATCTTCTAACAACTGGTTCTTCTTTGACGGACGAAAGAGAGCAAGGGCGTCAGGATCTCCTTATATGAATATCAACTGCCTTATTATATGCTCTGCTCCTTCGATTTTGAACTAGGAGCAAACTCTCAAAGTAATCCACTTGCTAACTTGCATACTTGGCTGAATTTAATTGGAATACAACCCATGGAATAAGTAGATCTTCATTTCTACACTTAGGTGACTTGAAAG